TGTATGGCAGAAACGATGCTAGGTGTTGCAGATTAAAGATATTTTAAATGCATAGGTTTGTCTGCATTTGTCAAGAATGAGCCCAACATGCAAAAGAAGAGCAGAGATGAGATTTTAAAAAAAGAGTGAGTCCCATAGGTGCTGAATTTCTTTCTGTCCCAGTCCTTGAAGCCATGGTTCCTGGTGTAATTCCTTCCTTTCCACAAATGACTGTCAACATCTCAGCCACCTGAGCTAATGAACCCCAGTTTGGGATTAGTGAGTTTGAGTTGAGCATCTGCCATTTTCAACTGAAAAAAGTCCTGACTGATACACCTGCCATATTAAGAATTCTGCTGTACATGTAAGGCAATGGGAGCTACAGAGAAATTTTAAAATGCAAAATGTCTTAATGGCTCAAGAGTGCATTCAAAAAGCAGTTCCAGTGGACTGTACAGAAGATGGATTCAAGGGAAACCATTTAGGTTATGTCTTCTGCTGTTCAAGAATTTCACTTTCATCCTTAGAGAATTTCTGACTGTTGAAATAGTCCACCAAGTCCCAGCTCACCTGGCGCCTCTTCTTTCGTGCCTTTCTGATCTCCCTCAGCTGGCATGAACGGGTCCTTTGTTCTGCCTTCCCCCAGCACTGCCCGTATACCTCTGACACCCACAGTGCACCTGAATCACCCAGAGGGCTTGTTAAAAGTAGACTGCTGGCTCTGGCCAGTTTGGCTCAGTGGTTAGAGTGTCGGCCTGAGGACCAATGAGTCTCGGGTTTGATTCTGGTCAAGGGCAAGTACCTTGGTTGCGGCTCGTCCCTGGCCCTGGTCAGGGTCAAGTGGAGGCAACCAGTCGATGTTCTCATGTCAATGTTTCTGTCTCTCCCTCTCTCCCCTCCCTCCCACTCTATCTGAAGATAAATGGAAAAATATCCCTGGGTGAAGATTAAAAAAAGAGAGAGAAAAAAAAGTGGACTGCTAGGCCCTGCCCTGAGAGCTTCTGATCTGGTAGCTCTGAGGTGGGACCCAAGAATTCCAACCAGTTCCCGGTGATGCAGATGCTACTGCTCTGGGGGCCCTACTTTGAGAACCACCGCTCTAACACATTTCATTGTGGCAGTATTCTAGCATTTGCTCATCATCAGCATCCCCTGCTAGATTAAAAGTTCATGAAGGACTTTTTAATTTATCTTTGTAAACTTCTCAGAAGCTAACATAATGTGTTACACTAAAGTGGTATCTGAGCCCTGGATGGTTTGGCTCTGTGGTTAGAACATCAGCCCACACAAGTCGAAGGGTCATGGGTTCCTTTCCAGTCACGGGCATGTACCTGGGTTGCGGGTTCAATCCCTGGCCCTGGTCAGGGTCATTTGGGAGGCAGCCAACCCACGTGTTTCTCTCACATCCATATCTTTCTCTCTCTCTCTCCCTCCCTCCCTTCCATTCTATCTAAAAAAAAAAAAAAAAAAAAAATCAATGGCAAAATGTCCTCAGGTAAAGATTAACAACAACAACAAGAAAGTAATATCTGATGGGCTTTACTGTGTGACTAACTATGGAGATAAAAGAAACATCTTACCATAATAAATTTCCTCAGTAATACTCTGATTCCCTCAAAAAAATAGGAAGAACTGTATAGCTAGAGAAAAGATCAAAAGGCAAAATACATCTTGACTTCTTTGGAGTCTAATTCTGATGACATCCTCTGTGTGATTTCTGTTCATACTTGGACATAAGGACAATGGTTATTTTCAAATATGAGAAACTTGAGCCTAGAAAAGACTAGCACTTTTTTCTTCCTCCTGCATCTGCTTCTATTTCTTCTTGATTTAGTTGTCATTTGGTAGCCCAAAAGAAAATAACATTTCAAGCATTTTTCACCCCAATATTTAGAAATGCTAATAAAACTAACTTCTTTGTAGCTGTTCTTATGGCAAGATATTCTGCCCCTTTAGGCAGTGTTGCCTTATAGCTATTTAAAAACACCTAGGAATGCCCTGGCCTTTGGCTCAGCAGCTAGAGCACTGGCCTGCGAACGAAGGGTCTTAGGTTCAATTCTTGGTCAAGGGCATGTACCTAGGTTTCAGGCTTGGTCCTCGGTGGGGGACATGCAGAAGGCAGCTGACTGATGTTTTGCTGTCACAATCCTATTTCTCTCTCTCTCTCTCTCCCTCTTCCTTTCTCTCTAGAATGAATGGATGAGGAATATATCCTCAGGTGAGAAATAAAAAAATATTCCAATGGCGTTTTTTTTCACAGAAATAAAGACAAAACTCTATAATTTGTTTGGAACCACAAAAGATCTCACATAGCCAAAGGAGTCTTCAGAAAGAATAATAAAGCTGGAGGTATCATGCATCCTGATTTCAAACTATATAATAAAGCTATATTAATTAAAACAGTATGGTATTTTTTTTAAAAAAAAAAAACCAGTATGGGTATAGGCGTAAAAACAGACAAATTGATCAATGGAACAGAACAGAGAGCCCAGAAATAAACCCAACCTGATATGCTCAATTAATTTACAACAAGGAGTCAAAAATATTCAATGGGGAAAGTATGGGTGCTGGGAAAACTGGACAGCCACATGCAAAATAATAATACTGGACCAATATTTTGCATATTACACAAAAATTAATGTAAAGTGAATTACAGACTTGAAACCATAAAATTCCTAGTAAAAAACATAGGCAGTAAAGCTCTCTGACATTGGTCTTGGTGATTATTTTTTGGATTTGATACCAAAAGAAAAGGCAACAAAATAAAAAAATATACAAGGGAGACTACATTAAACTAAAAAGCTTCCGCACAGCAAAGGAAACCATCAACAATGAAAAGGCAACCTAATAAATAGGAGAAGAATTTGAAATCATCTCAAAAGGGGTTAATATAAAATATATACATATAAATAATTCATACAACTCAATAGCAAGAAACAAATAATCCAATTAAAATGGGCAGAAGCCGGGCGGTGTGGCTCAGTGGATTGAACATCAACCCATGGACTGAGAGGTCCCAGTTTGATTTCCAGTCAGGGCACATGCCCAGGTTGCGGGCTCAATCCCCAGTAGAGAGCGTGTAGGAGGCAGCTGATTGATAGTATCTCTCTCAAATTGATGTTTTGATTCATCTCTCCCTTCCTCTCTCTTTAAAATATCAATAAAAATATCTTAAAAAATCAATAAAAAATAATAAATGGGAGAAGATCTGAATAGACATATTCCAAAGATGACATATAGATGGCCAATATGTACTTGAAAAGATGCTCAACATCACTAATCAGGGAAATGCACATAAAAACCACAATGAGATATCACCTCACACCTGTTAGAAAAGCTATCATCAAAATGTGAACCGATAAGTGCTGAGAGGATGTGGAGAAAAGGGAACCCCTGTGCACTGCTAGTAGAAATGCTAATATGGTGCAGCCACTATACAATATGGAGGTTCCTCAGAAAATTAAAATTAGAACTATCATATGACCCAGCAATCCCACTTCTGAGTATTTATCTGAAGAAAACAAAAACATTTAATCAAAAAGATATATGAACCCCATGTTCATTGCAGCATTATTCACAATAGCCAAGATATAGAAAAAATCTAAGTGTCCATTGATGAATGAATGGACAAAGAAAATGTGGTACACACACGTACACACATTGGAATATTGTTCATCTGTAAAAAAAGAAGAAAATCCTGCCTACTGTGATAACATGGATGGACCTTAAGGGTATATATTAAGTGAAATAACTCAAAGAGAGGGAGGTAAATATTGCATGATCTAACTTATATGCGGAATCTACAAAAACAAAACCAAAACCAAAATAATAGATACAGAGAACAGAACAGTCATTGCCAGAAGTGGGAGAGGAGTCGAGGGTTGGGGGTTTTTGGCAATATTGTTGACGACAGCCAAAAGGTGCAAATACAGGCCCTGGCTGGGTAGCTCAGTTGGTTAAAATGTTGCAATATGCCAGGGTTGTGGGTTTGATCCCCAATCAGGGCACATATAAGAATCAACAAATGAATGAATAAATAAGTGGAACAACAAATCAATGTTGTTGTTGTTTTTTTTCTCTTTCTTTCCCTTTCTTTCTCTCTCTAAAATCAATAATAAAAAAAAAGTCCTGGGGATGTAATGTATAGTCTTGTGACTATAATTATAACTGTATTGCATATTTGAAAGTTGCTAAGAAAGTAAATCTTAAAAGTTCTCATCACAAGAAAAAATATTCTGTAACTATATATGGTGATGGATGCTAACTAGATTTATTGTAGTGATCATTTCACAATATATACAATAATGAATCATTATGTTATATACTGAAACTAATATAATGTATGTCAATTATACCTCAACAACAAAAAAATAAAAACAATAAGCACACCAGGTTCAAGTTATTTTTTTAACTATGTCATTAAAGTAGATTTTTGTGAATTAAAAATAGCATGAAGCCACCCTGATCGATTTGGCTCAGTGCTAGAGCATCGGCCCGCGGACCAATGAGTCCTGGGTTCGATTCCAGCCGAGGGCACATATCTTGGTTTTGGTTCATCCCCGGCCTTGGTCAGAGTCATTTGGGAGGCAACCAGTCAATGTGTCCCTCTCGCGTCGATGTTTCTCTCTCTCTCTCCCCTTCTCTCCCTCTCTCTCTACCTGAAGATAAAGAGAAAAATATCCTCGGGTTAGGATTAAAAAAAACAATGCATGACGCCTGTCTTAAACCCTGTGAGACAGGGAGGGCTTGTTTGCGTGGACTTCTAGGTGTCCAGATCAGATATTTGGTTTCTCTATTGGAATTGACGTCCTCTCTCTGGGAACAATACTCTGTTGATACTTGAACCTTTCTCACTGTCTCTACATTGTGGTTCTAGTAGTTAGAGGGATCTTTATCATTCTTATAGCATCTTGAAGTAATGGGGTAGAGTTTTAGACAGACATGGATGCAGTATTTAAGGTACACAGAGAAAAAATTGGGGTGGGTGGGGGAGGGGGGCAGGGATTGCAGAGTGGCATTACCTTAGGCATCCTGTGACATTGTAGAATATATCAAAATCGAGCAAACCGTTCGCTTTGGGGTAGTCTCCTTCTGGCCATCCCGAAAAGGGGATGATGATATTCTCAGTCAGGATAAGCAAGGCTTCTGTTATCATGAGATTCTTGAGTTTGTCATTAGAGGACAAGTTCCACAGCAAACCTAGAATCAAAATAGTGCAGGGTTGGGTCAAAAGGACTGCTGAAAAAGTCATTTAAGGCCATCACCCCTGGGGCTATGGCTAGTTATTTAAAAAAAAAAAAAAGAAATGGGGTTGGGGAGACAGCCCCTCTTCCAGTTGAAAAAAGTTGTTTAGAGTTAATTAGATGGCAACGAAAGCTGATCCATAAGAACAATTAAAAATAGATAGATAGCCCTGGCCGGTTTGGCTCAGTGGTTAGAGCGTTGGCCTGTGGTCCTGAGAGACCCGGGTTCGGTTCCCGCTAAGGGCGCGTACCTCGGTTGCAGTTTGTCCACGGCCCTGGTGGGTCGTGCGGGTGGCAGCCACTCGATGTGTCCCTTCACGTCGATGTTTCTCTCTCTCTCCCTCTGTTCTTCTCTCTCCCTCCCACTCTACCTGAACAAAAAATGAAAAAATGTGTCCTCGGGTGAGGATAAAAAAAAAAAAAAAAAAAAAATAGATAGCCCTGGCTGGTTTGGCTCAGTGGTAGAACGTCAGCCCTCGGACCAATGAGTAGCGGGTTCAATTCTTGTCAAATGCACGTACCTCGGTTGCAGTTCTTCCCTGGCCCTGGTCAGGGTCGTGCGGGAGGCAACCAGTCAGTTTCTCTCTCTCTCTTCTTTTCTCCCTCTCCCTCCCACTCTATTTGCAGATAAATAGAAAAATATCCTCAGGTGAGGATTAAAAAAAAAAAGACATAGATAGATGAAAGAAAGATAGATAGATAAAGAGGAAGACTTGAAATTATCCTATTAGTTGTAACTAAGACTTCAACGTTTTTAAAGGGTCCTATTTTTTCTCTCTTAGATGCATGGAGAGAATACCTCCCTTTGCCTCCTGCTCCCCACTACCTGCAACTGCCACCTCACATTTGCCTCCCAGTAATCGCAGCAAGGGCCTGCAGAAAGTCTCCAACTGTGCTTATGCCTGTCAACAGCAGACTGATCAACATTACCAATTATTATTTACTGACTGTTACCCAATGATATATATATATATTTTTATCCTCACCCAAGGACATTTTTCCATTTTTTGTTCAGATAGAGTGGGAGGGAGAGAGAGAGAGAGAAACATCGACGTGAAAGGGACACATCGAGTGGCTGCCACCCGCAAAACCCAACCAAGGCCGGGGACAAACTGCAACCAAGGTACATGCCCTTAGAGGGAACCAAACCCAGGACTCTGGACCGCAGGCCAACGCTCTAACCGCTGAGCCAAACCGGCCAGGGCCCCAATGATAGATTTTATGTCCTCCTAGAATTTGTGCTGGCTACCTCATGTATTTCTTATATTACAATTTGGCAGTGAAGGAGAGATAAGAGTATTTTATCTATCTCCCAACGTGCATGGCCTCAGCATTGGTATAAGACTGGTACCACATTTGCTCATTTAACTTTCGTTTTCCTTTTGAAATCCTCCCCCCACCCCCTACACACATCCCCAACATCCTCATTAAAGAGAAAGGTCATACAAGCCAACTCAGGAAAAAATTAAGATAATAGGATACTGTACTTGCCAGGCATTTGCAAGACAAGACAGACTGAAGCTGGGTACTGAGAAGGAATACAAAATAAAATTAACATTTAGGATTTTTTTTTTATATATACATTTTTCACTCAAACACTTCTGGATTCAGTGGAAGTGGTTCTGTTACTAACCTGGTTATTAAATAACAGGAAAAAAGTACAGGGAGACCAGTTAACACAGGCATGCATTTATACAGCTTTGCCAGAAAGCTGCAGCTTAGACGCATGCCCAGTCAAGTCTGGGTGACGTGGGGAAACGCTCACCTGTCAGTTACGCCTGGGAACAAGGCAGTGGCCAAAATAGGCATGGCCACTGCAAGGGCACGAAATCCGAGATTCATAATCTTCTGGACAAAGAAAGTTCGCTCTTTGGCTCCTGGCCCTCTCACGCTCCTGGCTCTCCTGTTGCAGGGGGTGTGCTCCCCTGCATTCACCCATGTGGTTCATGGCCATGTAGCACCCACACAATGGACTAATGGACTGAATCTAGCCCAATGTCTGATACTACATCAGACTCAGCTTCACCATGGAATGGAAACTCTGGACACTGGCCCTGCTATTAGCTCTACTAACCCCTCAGGTAGCCCTCTCCAGGACTGGTTTAAGGGAACTGAGACGTTGTAAAGTTTATAATATAAAGTTTATTTATAATATAAACCAAGGAATTCAAAATTCATTCCTCCTGCACAAGTCTTAGAAGATTCATTTTCTCAAGGTATCATAAGAGCCCACTCCCACTAGCAAGGAAGAAATACATTTCTCCAGCAACAGAAGGACTACCCCCCTACTGCCTGCTATCCCAGTGACTCTCAGCAGGTGTAAAGGTGCCTGGCCATCTTTCATACCTCTGTAAGTTTCTCTAGCTCACTAGCATCCAGGAAAGGAGGAGAGTGGGAACAGAAAGAGAAGGGGTCTTCATTTTCTTCCCCATTCACTCTCCTACTGCCCAGACATAACTTCTACTGGGTAAGTTGACTGCTTTCAACGAAAGAAAGAGAAAGCACAGGTATATGGGACGACAGTCCACTCCATGAAGAAAGCAAACATGGTGATCCTGGTTGAATTATGTGGTGATATCATCTCCTCTGATTTTAATGACTGAAATAATAGTCTGTACAGGGAAGGCTTGGTAATTATTCAACCATCCTTGTATCTGGCTCATCAATTAGAACAGGCTAGGTCTAACACAGTCTTTTGTGTTCAAACAATTTACTTTGGCTGTGTACAAGTAACTAATTTCTAAAACAATAACCAAATTTCCACTGCAGCCTACACTTAGCTTCCATTAGATACAGACACTGGGTTTTATGTCTTGTAAGGACTAGAATTCTGGCTAATGAGGAGGCCTCTTCCTGATCAAACTAGCATTTGGGTTAGTCATCATCAGTGTCCCTTAGCCATAGGTTTTGCAACACAATGACTTCATTCCTCCCACTTCATTTTAAGAGGCCCTGAAAGGGGCAGAGGCAGAAAAAAACCCGGAGTGTATTTGAAAACAATTATAGGCAGGTCTGAGGTTGAATTTTGGTTACTAAGATACAAAAGAAAGTTGAAATGAGGAAAGAGGAAAAAAAAAAAAAGCTTACAGGTCTAAATAAGCAAATAAATCAAGAGTCTTTACCTGTGGCGGTAGAAGGAGACCTGACTTAGGGTGGGGAACACGCAATTGAATATACAGATGAATATACACCTGAAACCTATTTAATTTTATGAACGAGTGTCACCCCGGTACATTAAAAAAAGGTCTCTGTCCGCTAGAGGCTTAAAAGTGTGAAGCATAATATTTCCTCTTTTATTAAAGGACCACAAAGGAAAAGTAGACCTTAGAGTAAAAACCAGAGAAGATCAACTGGAACAAAGGGAGTGGAATTTTCGTTCGACAGTCAATGTCCTTTATACCTGGACATGCAATGATTATTTCTACATTCTTTTTATGGTTGGAGGTGTTTTAGTATACATAGTTTTTGAATTTTTAATGTAGGATATTGTATAGAAATGTCATGACTGCCAAATTTTTGTATGGCATGAAGTTAGGAAGGAGCTTAAATGGTCACCAGAGATGGAAGGTTATACACACTTACACACACACCCTCACACAGACAGACACAAAATCCATAAATGACCAATTATAAATCGGGAAAATATGTGTGATAATATGAGACAAAGAGTTATTAATCCTCTTAATATACTGAATTCTTATGAATTATTAAAATTCAATGACTAGTAAGAAAATTAACCCAGAGCTCTAAGATATTAGAGTCCAGTATATATAGGAATGCATATATATATTAGAGTCTAATATATATATAATGCAGTGACTAAAGAAATGCAAATTTAACAGCTAAATATCCTTTTCTGTGGCTACGGAGATGCGACTAGCACCACTGCGGGGACTTTCTTGGGAAGGAGACTGGCTCACGAAAGCATGAACGGGGGAGAGAGCACTGCAAACAGAAAGCTGTTTGTCAGATCCAGCTCTATCACTGGCGCTGACCAAAACGAGCCCATCTTTGACCAAAACATTAACAAGAAAGTTTTACTTTGAACCCAGAGCTTTAGACTAGACTAGCAGTTTCCGAATGAGCCCAGTGGCAAATCAGAACCACATATTCCTGGGCTATACCCCAAACTGACTGAGCCAGAATCTCAGGGCGAATTCTAGGAATTCGTATTTTAAAAATGATTCCCATTTCTGGTATTGTGAAACCAGTGGACCAGAGGACCCTGAATAAATGTCCCTTTCAATAACTGGATTCTAGATTCCCGGTATAATATGTAGAGTTAGGTTTTCATTTGTCTCACCTTTAACTTCTGGTCAATTTATTCATAGTGCCTAACTTTCCATTATTATAGTACTTTGTTTTAGCTGGTCTGCCTGTAATTTTCTATTACCAAGCTCTCATTCTAGCCAAAAAGAGAGAAAACTGGATTCTAGTAAGAGATATATTTTGAATAGTTAGCAATAATGATAACTGCATTATCCAGAAATTTATTGCCAACTGTGATATTTGGGGAAAAAAAGATAACTAGTCAGGGATTTTATAGATAATAAAACCTGTATTTTATTAACGTTGCCCTCTAGGACTAGAAGTATAGTTATTTACACTACACTTGACAGTGAGGTAGCAAAACTTGGAAATTTTATGATTAATGAATCCTTATCTCCAGTGTAAGAGAAGGGGGAGCAGGCGGAGAAGGAGAAGTGGGGTTTTAACCATGGTTTTCAAAGTGACCACAGAGCATGAGGATTGTTTTTTTTTTTAAACAATCTCCTTTGCATGGATATACTTCTCCTTTCACCTAAATTTTACCTGGAATATCGTATTACCACAAATGCCATCGATTCCAAGTTATAAATAAATCCATGGTATCTTATTACACAGTGTAAATGCAGAAAAAATAATATACCATTATTTAAAGGTGTACAAAGAATATATATATATATTTTTATCCTCACCCGAGGACATTTTTCCATTTTTTTGTACAGATAGAGTGGGAGGGAGAGAGAGGAAGAGATAGAGAGAGAGAAACATCGATGTGAAAGGGACACATCGCGTGGCTGCCACCGCACGACCAACCAGGGCCGGGGACAAACTGCAACCGAAGTACGTGCCCCTAGCGGGAACCGAACCCGGGTCTCTCCGGACCACAGGCCGACTCTCTAACCACTGAGCCAAACCGGCCAGGGCACAAAGAATATTTTATGGCAAAAGGTTTTTGATATTTTATGAAAATACAGCAATCCAATTAAATATTTTCATAAAATACGCAGAGGTTAAAATAAATTTGCAAGAAATTTCACCGACAGTCATTCCGACTCTTCCTTATACAAAATTCAGAACAGGGACAAGAATCCTCTGCTTCGCTCTCATCACCTGTCTGTTGTAACCCAAAACAGAGCCCTATACACTACAGCCAGTGCTCATTACTCAGTGACCTTGAAGATGAAACTCTGAGACTAGTATGTACTGTTCTCATTTCAATCAAAGCGCTTACACTACCACACTCACTGCTAAAGAAGGGGGAACAATCTCATGGGGGGAAACTCTTTGATCCTGAAGTCTTCTTTTTTGTTGTTAATCCTCACTCGAGTAGAAGGGCGGGGGGGGGGGGGGGGGGGGGGGAGGGGGGGGAGAGCGCGCAAGAGAGAGAGAACTATCAATATGAGAGAGACAGATCAATTGGTTGCCTCCCACATGACCCTGACCAGGGCCAGAAATTGAACCTGCAACCCAGGTACATGCCCTTGACTGCGAATTGAACCTGTAACCCTTCAGCCTGAGGGCTGATGCTCTAATTGCTGAGCCAAATGGGTCAGGGCAATCCTGAAGTCTTTTCTTTTTTTTTTTTTTTATCCTCACCCGAGGACATTTTTCCATTTTTTGTACAGACAGAGTGGGAGGGAGAGAGAGGAAGGGAGAGAGAGAGAGAAACATCGACGTGAAGGGACACATCGAGTGGCTGCCACCTGCACGACCAACCAGGGCCGGGGACAAACTGCAACCGAAGTACGTGCCCTTAGCGGGAACCGAACCCGGGTCTCTCTGGACCGCAGGCCGACGCTTTAACCGCTGAGCCAAACTGGCCAGGGCCTGAAGTCTTCTCATTGGAAGATGGAAGAGCTTCCCTCCTAGGCTGGTACAGAAAATGCCAGGAAGATCAATGAGTGGACATTCTCCACAGTGAACAAAGCCCCGATGCTAAATTTCATATATATATATATATATAAATCAATCAATCAAGGTCTTATCTGCAAACACATCTGTTTCCCTTATTTATGTAAATTTACATATTCTCAGGCCACAAGTCTCTCTCTCTCTTTTTTTTTTTTTTTTTTTAATCCTCACCCGAGGACACTTTACCATTTTTTGTACAGATAGAGTGGGAGGGAGAGGGAGAGAGAGAGAGAAACATCGACGTGAAGGGACACATCGAGTGGCTGCCACCCGCACGACCAACCAGGGCCGGGGACAAACTGCAACCGAGGTACATGCCCTTAGCGGGAACCGAACCCGGGTCTCTCAGGACCGCAGGCTGATGCTCTAACCGCTGAGCCAAACCGGCCAGGGCTCTCTCTCTTTTTTTTTATCTTTGGTCAGACATCCACAGTTGTTGAGAAACTTACATGATCACCACCACTGTGATTGTAGTAAACAGGCAGGAATGAAATAAGTGGCAACCTAATATGACAGGATGCAAAGGTAGTTCTGAGAAGCCCCTTCCTTTAAAACTAAGGTAGAGGGACTGAAAGTAAATAGAGGGGTGGCATTTGAAAATACTTCGGATGCTCTGATCAGCTTGGCTCAGCCGTTACAGCATCGGCCCATGGACCAGAGAGTTCCAGGTTCAGTTCCCACTAAGGGCATGTACCTTGGTTGCAGTTTGTCCTTGGCCCTGGTTGGGGTCGTGTGGGTGGCGACCAATCGATGTGTCTCTCTCACAACGATGTTTCTCTCTCCTTCCCCCTCTCTCCCTTCCGCTCTATCTGAAGATAAATGCAAAAAAGGAAAGAAAATACTTCAGAGAATTGACATTTGAAACAGCTATTGAATCTCTGGGTGTGGAAGAGGATGCCCGTCCAAGATAATAGTGGGACAGATATTGAGATAGAAAGGAAGCATGAAACAGACCGGCACATCCTTTAGCATTTCAGAGCTTGGGATGGAAAGCACTTACTTAACTTTTCCATTAATACAGCTAAAGGAAGTTGTTTGAAGGATTTGTATAAAATATTCAAGTATTAACTCAATTCAATGAATAAATCTGGGCTTTGTTCTTCACTAATGTTGTAACCTTGGGCAATTTAATTAATCTCCCTGAACCTCACATTGATCATACGTAAATTGTCAGTAACGCCTTATGGAGCTGCCAGGAGGAACAGAGATGAAAAATGAAAAGCCAAAGCTTAGTGACTAGCACATAATAGGGTCTCAATAAAAAGATGTTTATGAAATAGACAAGAAGAGATCAACATATATGGTTACTCACTTTGTGTTTCTAAACAAAGATATAAACATGTCTATATAAATCAACAATTTATTTCTGAGGCCAGGAAAGCACTTATTTAACTTTTCTATTAATAGAGCTAAAGGAAGTTATTTAAAAGGATTTGTATCAAACATTCAAGTATCAACTCGATTAACATGTAATGAACACCTTCTGGTAGGAATGCTTGGCTTGTACTAGAAATCCTAGGACTTGCACAAGCAACCTCCTTTTATCAGCTCTGTAGATGATCTAAAGAAGAATGGTTTCCATGGCATCAGCACCACAGAATGTTCTCAGACTATAGTTTCCTATTGCCTATATACAAAAGAAGAGGAAGCCTGGCTCAATGGATCACACTTCCTTGATACATACCCACACATCCTCCCAAGCTTTCTAGCAACCACATTACCCTAACCTCAAATCACTCACCCGAGCTTCCTCTAAATGACCAGCAGCTTCTTTCTTCTTCTTTGCTTTGCCAGTAGTGATGCTCACTTTGCTGGGAATAACCTTCATTCTCCTTTAAAACAGTAGTCCAAACCCTCTCCCTCTTTTAAGATCCACAATGAACCATACCTCCTTCATAAAGTTTTTTTTTTATTATTATAAAACAAGATCATCTGATCCTCTCTTGTGTTTCATTACTATATTTTAGTGAAGAAAATGTTAGGTTCTAAATGTGAGTGTTTTTTGTTTGGTTTTTAAGTGCCAACCATTACATAATCGTTCATGTTTTAGTATCTGGAAAATAATATTTAGACTGTGATTTTTCACTGCCTGGCACTTGTAGGCTTCCCTGTAAATGTTGGCTGAATAAATGAATGAGTGAGGTCACTCAATATCTGTAGGTATTTTAATATGACTCACAAACATGAAAGGAACTATTCCATGGGACATGATAGCATGCTGGCAGAAAGATAGCATGGTATAAACCTTCATATAGTGTTATAAAATTAAAATATATCAAGGTAGAAAAAAGTGTGATATTTTAAGATACAAATGAGTAAAGAGGATATAACATTTTTTTTTTTTCCCTCACCCGAGGACATTTTTCCATTTTTTGTTCAGATAGAGTGGGAGGGAGAGAGAGAGAGAGAGCGAGAGAGAGAAACATCGACGTGAAAGGGCCACTTCGACTGGTTGCCACCCGCATGACCAACCAGGGCCGGGGACAAACTGCAACTGAGATATGTGAAAGGGACACATCGAGTGATCGCCACCCACACGACCCAACCATGGCTGGGGACAAACTATAACCGAAGTATGCGCCCTTAGCGGGAACCGAACCCGGGTCTCTCTGGACTGCAGGCTGATGCTCTAACCGCTGAGCCAAACCAGCCAGGGAAGGATATAACATTTTTATAGAAACAAATAAAGCTGTTGTATAATAAAGTGAGGATGGCATAAGTGCAATATATTCAATCATAAACCATATTTATGAAGTCCCTTCTTTTTAAATAAGAACTCTGTCAACTGTTACCACACAAAAAAATGTATATATTAAAAGGATTAACTTCTTTAGGTCTTAATTTCCCCATCTGTAAAATTAAGATTTAATACCCAGTAATACCTAAAAATACCTCAACACCTAAGGCTTTTGCTATAATTAAATTTTATAATGTATGTGTATCACCTGGGACACTGAAGATGCTTTGTTCCAGGAAATTTAAGAAAAAGAGATGACATAACCCATCCGGCTGGGGTGCACCGTGTACGCCCTTTAACACTCAGTAAGTACTACCTGTTATTTGTTTTTTAGTCTCCAAGTCTCTGGTTTGCTTCAGCACCTGCAGCAGCCGAGGTACCCCGTTGAGTTCAACTACCTCTAACTTGTTGTCGTTATCTTCAAATACCAAGTTTCTCAAGGCCCCACACACAGCTCTCTGAACATCTTCATTCTGAACTTTTAGGAGGTTCATAAGCTTGGGGATGCCTTGAAGCTGATAGACCTGGGGAAGAAATGGATGCACATGTCAATACTGCACAGGTTTATTAATTTTGATGTGCATTAAAGACATTCAGTGAAATATGAATGAGCAGATGAAGTTGATTATAACTCCCATCAATCCACAACTATGTGTGGCACAACCTGAGACTCACAGTGTACAGTATACTCCTGCTATAAAGTATCTCTTGTTGAGGAGCTTACAATGAATTAGGGCAGTTAAAACAAAAACCTATGAAAAAAACAAAGGGAAAAGTTAAGTGATCAAGGGTGAATAAGTGGTAGCTAAGTGGAAAGAGTTAAATGATAAAAGCCTTGAGCGTAATCAAGATGAAGAGAGCTGGGAATTTGAGGAGTGAGGAAAGTTTCATGGAAGAACACCACATTACATGAGTGTTTCTTCTAGGACAGAACTTTACAGTCAATATAAACTGGACAGAAACCACCTTCATCAATGGTAACAATAACAATTCATTTGCCACCAGTAGCAATGTAAACCCTAAATGTGAGCTATTTCTAGGATCAATTGTTTTGAGTATTTTAAAGGATTTATATAAATTATTCAAGCATTTTAAGTAAATAACATAACTTACACTTTTCAATGTGCTATTTTAAAAATATTTCTTCTATAAAAATATACAAGAGACAGCATGCTGTCTATTAGAAAAGGGGCCAGAACTAGGAAGAAGAAGAACAATAGATGGTTTAGATTCCATGACCTATGGCTGCTTGAGAAGAGGCCAAATAACAGCAGTCTGGGCAAGGTGATTTCGTGTTGTAGGCTCTGCAAATACTATCTAAACAAATCAGGGAGTGGACACAGGGTTGCTGCATAGCAGTGTTAAGTTGCAGACTACGGGTTTTCTTTTTCATAGGCTTCCATTAGTATGTGCTTCCAATTTTTTTTACAGTTGGTTAAGAATTTCTGGTAAAGATCTCAGTGATTTCCACCATCTTAATACAGATACTTTTAGGAGATAGGCTGAGAAGGGGTATGAGTTTCCCTTTCAGATGAAGTTCATCACCTGTGGATGATGCCCTAATTACACAGCGGTTCACGCTCGGGGGAGCTGCACACCTGACCGAAGGGCACATTGTCACGTTTTCTTTGTATCATCACACTCTAGCCTCCCTGCCATAGAAAGATAAATATTATTTAAGACCCGGTCGTCCAATTTTACATCTTCCTTTGTTAGGATTGGGGAGAAGACTAACAAAGTCAGGAATCAAAGTGAAGATAGTAAAATAATCTAAGTAATAACCACAATAATAATAAAAGAAAAATAACAACTCCTCCTCCCATTTCCATCATTAGGAAGTATTAGCAGTGTTAAGAGTTTTATATATATTATCCAATCAATAGCTCACTAGAACCTTAAGAGGAAAGTACTCTTTTGTCCCTTAAGGCTTCACTGGAGGTAATGAAGAGTAATACTTCCACTTACTGGCTCCCTTCAGGGGAGACATTTGCTGAACAGGAGACAATTGGAAGATGGACCACAGCAATTTTGATGGGCGATGTCTAGAGCCATTCTAATATATCTGTACGACACTGCTAATGATAAAAGATTTCATTTCATTGCTATCAATGAAACCTGGTCCAACAGATCATCTATTTGATCACTTCATCTATTTCCACTATTACATTTCCTTAAAAGCAGAAAGGCACAATTTATTTAAAAACAGCCTGCAACTCAGGTTTCCCTAATTCCATCAAATTCTATTTCCTAGTTGGGGTTTTGAGGTGGTTCACTCCATGAACATCATAAATGCTAGCTAGACTACATCTTCACAGTAGCAGCGTAAACATCAGCTGCAAAAAGAAAATCCTATTTGTCCTGAAGGTACTTTGGCAGCTTCAGAAATATTTTATTACTTAATTTATAATTTACAAGCTGTCTTCTTCAAAATATGATGTGAAGTGGCTTTCTGACCATCCTGCATTTCCAGCTGAGACGACAGCATTAGTGCGACTTAGCCCATGGACGCCTCCTCGGCCCTGACGGGACAGCAGACTGTGTGACAGCCTTCAGACCCATTCTCTCAGCCTGCCACCTCTGTCCCTGTGGCTTTCAGCACTTGCAGACACACCACGCTCAGATAAATGCTGAAATCCAACGACAGCTCTACTTTACTGTAGAATTTGATTCCCTGGTGTCTGGCACCTACCCCACATTTAAAAATAGAATTCAGTTACTTTTATCCTTTTTATCAAGCCAATGGCTATAAATCATATCAAATGCATGAAGCTGATGATATTCTCCTCATTGCACAGAACTGGAAGGACACTGGCAATGAATCCTATACACATCAGGACTAATGTCACATGGGCTGTTCTTGCTCCTTTCAATTCAGGGTAGAGGCTGGAACCAGTCTGTTTCCCAGTTATACTAAATCCTCAGGGGATTTATTCTCCCTTTGGGGACAGGAAAAAAGAAACAGACTAACATGAATGTCTCAGAACTTCAAAGGAGCTTTCATTTGAGATGGTTTCTAAATATATGAACAGGCAAAAATCACGTATTAGAATTTTAAGTTTCTCTTTTGACTCTATTCTGATTCTCTTCTCTACCAATTCTAAAATAATTAAACAATTAGGACTTCTGGTGGCAACCCCCCCAAGGGAATGGACGCCTCTGTCGGGGTGAGGGCTCCCTCACGCCGGTGCCTTTGCTCCCCCTTCTTTCCTGTGGGTAATGCTCCGCCGCTCTGCCTCTCTTCTGCTCAAATGTCACCTCTTCTGTGAAATGTTACTCCCTTTCTCGCTTTTCTGTCCCCTTAGAGTTAATCACGGCCTAAAAGTTGGTACCATAACCTTTCAGGAAGGCCACTGGCAAATGTTGTCAAAAAGTAAAAATATTCTACTCTAGAAAAGCTTAGTTAGGAAACAATATGAAATGCAGACACAGACTAACACACTATGGTAGTAACTACATCGTTTATAATAGTGAAAAATAAGAAAAAATCATAAATGCCCAACGATGGGGGAAGACTGCTTAATGATTAATTCACATTTGCGCATGTGGAGGTATCCATGGGAGAGGCAGAACGATGTTTGAACTGACAGATGTTGTATTAGTCACACGTTCTCTCATCCATCAAAGGAGGGCTGTGTAAGACTAGCAACCGTGTGCTAGGCATGCAGTAGTTACTCGACACGCGGTAGCTACTACTATCATCAGTACGCCACCATTAAAATGCCTACAAACTAGTAATGTTATGAGAAAATGCTTATGATAGAATGTTATTGAAAAAAGCTGAATAAAATATCTGCATTTCTACTTATAAACACAGACATAAAGAAAGAAATGAGCCTCGCCAGTGTGGTTGAGCGTCGACTCATGCACCAAGAGGTCTCTGGTTCGATTCCCAGTCAGGGCACATGCCCAGGTTGTGGGCCCCATCCCCAGTGGGGGGCATGCAGGAGGCGGCCAGTCGATGTTCTCTCTCATCAATGTTTCTATCTCTCTCCCTCTTCCTTCCTCTCTCTCTAAAATCAATAAAGAAAAAAAAGATGGGAATGAGATTAGGGGGTTTGGGAGAAATGGTGGTTGTATAAATGATAAATGAGGCTTGCTTCTTTGTATATATTTTAAACAGCAAACATATAGTTGAGCACATTTATTTTTTATTTATTTATTTATTTTTAATCCTCATCCAAGGACATTTTTCCATTTTGTGTACAGACAGAGTGGGAGGGAGAGAGAGGAAGAGAGAGAGAGGGAAACATCGATGTGAAAGGGACACATCGAGTGGCTACCACCCACACGACCAACCAGGGCCGGGGACAAACTGCAACCAAGGTACATGCCCTTAGCGGGAACCGAACCCGGGTCTCTCCGGACCGCAGGCGGACGCTCTAACCGCTGAGCCAAACTGGCCAGGGCTAGTTGAGCACATTTAAAAAATTGAAAACAAAAAATCCCCACAAACAAAGTCACATATTTAATTTGATTACAGTTAGGTACATACAGGGTAGGGCAAAAGTAGGTTTCCAGTTGTGAGTACATGAAACACATAGTTTATTTTTGTATTATTATTTATTAATTTTTGTATTACTTTCCATATGAACAACTAGAAACCTACTTTTGCCCCACCCTGTATACACATTAAAAAATCAGAGAACAAAACCAAAATGGTAACAATAGTGGCACCATGGGTATGTTTTTTCTTTCTTAAGTTCTCAAATTTCTTATAATAAACTTGTATTAGTTTTATAATAAAATTTTACAAAACAGTTCTGGCAGTCACTGTTCCGTGATGAGATCTGAAGCAGGCATAAAAATAAAACCAGTTTAAGAAGGGGCCTGCAGATTAAATTAAGAATTTGTTCTTTATCCTGCAGACAAACAGGGCAGCTACTGGACGGTCTCCTGGGTGCTGTGAAGAGAATGGATTAGGAATGGATAAGAACGGAGGAAGGGAGACTAATTAGGAGGCAGCTGGATTAACAGGGATGATTGTGACAGGGATGAGCTGTACCCACTCCCTGGGTGAGCTACCACTAGCTCACAGAGGAAATATTCTTCTCTGAGTTATTCCGGGAAGGCATTGCACCATTATCTGACTGCATTCTCACAACTCTTCGTAGTAGGCCGACTAGTTCTCCTTTACAGGCAGCAAAGCTGAGGCTTAGGGAAGCAAAATATCTTGCTTGAGGCCATCCAGGTAATTAGGGCGCTAGGATTCAAATCATCCCTGAGTGACTCCTGAGTACCAATGCTCAAACCACCAAGAGTCCTACTTCAACCCAGCAGGAAGAACAAGTTTAGGAGGGTTGAATAATAGAGAAGAAAAGCAAAAGATAACGTGTTCATATTTCTTGATAAAGTTGATGCTGAGTTTAGTGGGAAGTCTAGGAAATAGATGTGTTTGGAACCCAGGGGAGAGAGACGGGCTGGAGATGCTCTGAGTCATCAGCACGGGATCACACATTAATGGAAGCCACGGAAGTTAATGAGGCAGGTCAAAAGATGGTGTTGAGAAAGAAAAGTCCCAGGAAGA